CGGGCATTTTGTGCGCATTTTATGCGACCGCATACTGATAGTGCGTCTTTGACGCCGCATAAACGTCTCCTTGGAAAAGCATACTTCGTGACTAGGAAAACATCTCCAAAGATAAAATGGTGACACTGCCTTCAGTATCAAGGTCACTTTCAAGTCGCTGCGTGGCAGTCTATCGGCACACTTCTTTGGTGGAAAGCTGTTTGATTATTGAGGATGCATTTCATGCTGCCACCTTTTCACTTAGCATTATGAAGACTTCTCTCGCGCTAAAAAAACTGGCTTTTGTGATAGTTTTGCAGCAGTAAAAGCGTGGCATGTCGTTGTGCCTCCAAGAGGCTACACTAGAAGGACGTAACTGCTAGAATAATTTATTTTAACAGACAGCAGCAGACTTCGACAACGAAGTATTCTGCATCGCATATTTTTGGGCAACCAAAGAGTGACATTTTCAGTGCATGGTCAAAAAATGGAAGAAGAAAGTACAGGGAGGAGCAAAGCATTTTCGCTTCGACTTCCACTTTACGGATATATTATCAACATAGTTAAATCAGGTGATGATTGACTCCCCGTATGGGGAGGCATCCTTTGCATCACAACTAAAAACGCATTTAAGGTTAAAAGTGCATGCGCGAACGATGAGCAGTCGGACTGATAGGACACCGAGTAAAGACGTCTAACAAATTCACCCTGGAGCGTAAACACATGCTGCCCTTCGGTTTGATAAGGATTCGACAACTTAATCAAAGCTGCGAAATAGTGATTGCTTATTTATACATTTTGCTTACAAGGTTAAAAAACAGGTGAATATATGGGTTAGTTTGCACGACTGCAGTAAATAGACGAAGGCACTCTCTCAGTTTATCACAAAACAGGCGGTGCTTTGAAAGCGCGGGTGGATGATTGTCCACAACACGTTATCAGTTCGAATAAAAATTTATTTAATGTTATTGGGACTGAGGCGCGAATATGTCTGAAACCGTTTTCCGACTAATTCCAGCTCGTTTCTAGCACACGTTTCCCTTGAAGTGCGGTCGCCAAGAGGAACACGAATCGTATGCATTAGCGCTTAATTGCGGAAGAGAAATTTTATGCTCGCTGAATACAAAAACACATTTCTTCACATGAGATGATGCTTGCAACAAATCCTGTTGAATATCATGACTTTGAGCAGTCCTTCACATCCTCTGCTACCTCTTCAAAGGTTAAATGTGCTGTAGATATAGGCGAGAACAAATGCTCCCTTTCATGTCGAAGTACTCCTGACGACCTGACGACACCTTTTCTGACAGGCAGAGTACTTTAAGTTTTACTTTGGAGAATGGTCTTGTCACTCATTCTACTCAAATGTCCCTTTTGTTCAAAAATTTTGAGCTTTCACACATAGCACAGTTCTGTTTCGAGTGTCGCAATCAGACTAGATGTGACGGTAATCAGGAACCGCCAGTTACGCAAAGCCAATTAATTAGTTTTGTTACCAAAACAGTAACGGAAATGGCGAATTTCACCTTTCTAGGTCAGATAGCCATTTAACCCAAGTTACTACAACTTACTTTGGTATGCAAAAGCATATCGAGCTAGGCCGTCTGCGTTTGCTGACCAAAGAGGGTTTCGCGTGGGAAAATTTCGGACGCGAAAACTGGCTATCTCCAGCCTGACAGCAGAATAACATCTAATTAACTTCTAATGTGTGTTTCGATACAATCGTTGAGACTTGGTCACAATTCCATCATAACTGGACAAAGGCAGATCAGGTTCGGGTTTGGAGACATTTTTATAGGTAGTCTTATGTCTTTGGAAGCCACCCTTTTATGACTTGAAAACTTTTTATGGAAGTTTTAACTGCTGAAAATGTTGTTAAAGGTCTTACAAAAAACACAGTCTATTGTACTAAATGACGTCCAATCTGCACAGGCAAGTAAAAACCTCCTGAAAGTGGAAAATATCCGACAAAATGGCGACTATGGAGATTCAACATGGAGTGTCCCTTACTTACAACTGTTCATTCAACATCACTAGTGTGAATAACTACGAGGAAGCTAAGATTTGCAAAGCCGTGGCATTCTGTTCGCGTTTCTTACAAAACAGCTACTGCAGAGGTATCACTTAAAATCCTTGTCTGATTTGGTGCAATTTAGTCACAGGCCTCTGCGCAGTAATCATCGCATCATGCATCAATGGGAGTCGCCAAATGATGACTTTGTTGACTCTCAAAGACCGAAAAAGAAGGCTGATGTAGACTTAGTGGAGTGAGGGTGAGGAATAAAGAGGTGTCGGAAAGCGTTGATAATAAGTGATCAGGGCGAGCAAAGAAGAAGGGGAGGGTTTCAGTCTAACATTCTCATAATTGCGTTGAGTAAAATAAGGCAACTTTTGTCCTTAAATTTTCAAATATAAATTTTTTACTACTGTGGTTGAGGTTTTGCACAGCCGCAAGAGTTTTCTGCTAGGTGACGTGCCTCTACCCCAAAGGGCATAACTTTTCCCACCAAGGCACAACACAATTTGGCAGTGTAAGCACGTACCAATGAGCCTTGCCAAAATAGTTTCTTGAACTAGCCTAAAGTCCTTTCATCCACTTCACAAAGTGTTATTTTTCTATAGCTAAAAGTGTACTACAGGGCAAAAGCCGATTGCTTTTAAGCATTCCGATAAAGGTGCCATTGGGAGACCATTTGTGCGCCATCTCGGTTACACTGACACTTGCAAGGGTCGTCGACGTGATGCGAACGAGGCCGTAGTGCGTGTACACTCGCCCAAAAACAGAGGAGACACCTTCGATAAGACAATTCACGTACGCAGAGCTCTGCATTGACATTAGCTAATTGGTCATCATTGTTTATCACTCGCTTTTCGCCTTGTACTTAATTGCGTGCAATTTATACCCTAGACACACACACACACACACCCGCAGACTCGCCTAGTACACACACCCATAAACTCACCACGTCAAACGCGGAGTTGAGGCAACGCCTTTTTAAGCAAAACTCAGCCCTCTATTCAACATCATCCGCTTTGACTTGAAGGGTGACGCTTTGGCAAGTGCAACTGAAAGATGAGCTGCAGCTGTGAGACATCGTCACGGACAGGAATTGCCTTGAATGCCAGAGCCTTCAGATTACCCAGAAGAGTGAGCCTGTTGACACATTTTACTCAATTCAATCTTTCCACCGATTACTTTTTTTTTAAATAAATCAACGTGTTTATTACGATTTGGTGTAGAGGGATTAGCCTAACGTTTTATCAAATCCACGAAATGACCTACAAAATTAGATGGAAACCTTAAATGCCCACGTTAATAACAAAATTAATCGAGTGCAATAAATTCACCACAACCATAAACAAACTTAATTTGACAGGTAAAAGTGGAGTTCAGCATAAGGCGTGAGGCTGGGTTGTTGTCCGTTAAAAATTGTGACGTCTTTCGATGCTGGTAAGTGACATTTGAGGAAGTAGCGCCCTTAAGTAGCAAAGTGCCTTCACACCAGTTTGCTTTTTTTCAGCAACATTCACACATTCCCTGCTAGCAACTGGATGACAGTTAATCAAGCAGTAAATTTCGATAGCCATTTTATTTTTCAAAAACAGGTTGGAGATAATTAGAATAGCGGTTTGTATACAGCATCAAGCAATCATGGCATCGGAAAAGGAGGGTAGCTTGTATATTTTACACAGGAAAGGTATTAGCATGAGCTGCCAAAATTCCCAAAAAAACACGATTCAAGAAATTGCAACAGGTAAGGAGAGATTCATTTGGTTTGACCGCTTGACCAATGTCTTGCAATTGAGATTGTACGTTCAACAGAGGAGATAATTTCAGAGTTTGGTTTCGGTATGAAAGCATTCTCACACCAGAACCTTGAAGGCGGGACGAAGAGGAGGGTCGATTGAGGAGAATATCACAAACTTCAAAAAAGGCGTAGAATAAACACCCGATGTGTCACAAAATGCATAATCACAAGACTGCTCCATTTTTCTTGTGTTCTTTATGTGATCGGATAGAAAAAATAACTTTGGAAGTGAGCAGCTCGAAATTGGAAAGACCGTTTAGGAGAGAAGGGGTTAAGAGCATATGGGGAATAAGCTTTTTTGTACAAGAGGTTTTCAAAATGAGTGCAAAGTTGACATCGGCAATTGATACAATGCGAGATCCGTGCAGTCTCAATTCTGCAAAACGTTGCCCACGAAATTATTCCAGTATTGAGATAAAAATAGGTTGGAGTTGTAGGAATAATCCCCGGTAGGAAGGTAGTACCCGGGCAAATACGTGTATGCACCGGCTGCGGGGCTTAAGGTTGCTGCAGCATTCGCAGACGGGTTGTACGTTCCCAATGAAAAATTATTCGCATATACGGCTGGAATGGATGGAAGTTGGGAAGAATCATGGAAAAGGCAGGGCCACCAATCGTTGTTACTAACACTTAGGAAATAGCAGTATAGTGTCTCATTTTGAGGCAGCATTGGACGCAGGTCATCTACAAAAAGGGCTCATTAGATTGACACCTCCTACGTGACATTGAGACTTACCTTGAGAAACTAAGCAATGAGAAATCATTCAACATTTTACTTAATGCACACATGATCATCGACAATAGCTTAAATCCCTTTCTGACTACTCCAGGATTAAATCACAAAACCATTTGGGTCACATAAATCTTAGGCAACTCATAATTTCACTTAATAAACCTCATTGTGGCCATTAAACAAACAATATTTAGGAAATCGACATTTGCCACTTGACGGCATAGCATTGGACCTGGTACCTGATTCGAGAATGGACCCTTTGTAATGGGCACAGCGCCCAACAGGAACCTATAGGGTCTGTACACCTTCAATTTAGGCAGTAGTCGCGCCATGAGGCGATTGTCAAACTCGTACTCCTCGATTCTGTTGTCATGCCAGCCCCATACCGCCCTTTAGGTGTCACCATTTACTTGCCACGTGTAGTTGGTGAGTGTGCTAGACACCACTTGGCATCAGTTAAGCCAATTTTGTATACGGCACTACTTAAAGGGAGACTCACCGATCGCATGCCTGTTAAAAGCTTGGTTGGATTTTTGGCAATTGTTTACTCCCTTCATTACTTCTTTGGGTAAGGCACGTTTCACTTCCACCTGAGGAAAAAAGAGAGTCCAGTTGATGCCTTGTGAGACGTGCAGGTATTGCTTGTTTTAAACTGCACAATAAGTCGGAAATTTTTAATCGTCTCAAATACTGTGATTGAGTTTTGTGTAAGCTTGCGTTAAAGTACGCCTCTTCATCTTTAAATTTATGATGCGAGTGATACACATACCTACACCTTTGGGTTACGCAATTTCATTGCAATAAACCAAACACAAGGTATGCCTTTTCATTAAACCTTAAATAAAACGTAAAAGATTCCACTTCCTTCTCCATGCATCAAAGTTGATGCTGCAGAGGCTCAGAAAGTGGTGGGTTCAAACGGGAGAGAGATGCACCAACTCACCCTCTTATTATCCAACCTGTGATAGCGGATTTCGCAAACCTTATTGGCTGCGTCCACATTTTCAAAAGTCACAAAAGCGAAACCTAAATGACAAAAGGGAGACCTGTAATACCCTATCAACCTCTTCAGAAAATTCTAATTGTGCGGCAAAGTCACGACCCACGATTGGCAATGCAAATTTGTCGTTTCGATAAAACAGATGCAACGTTTATCGGCTCCTAATAAGTTTGTTTAAAGAGCTCATTGTTGTGCCTTCACAAATGATGCTATTAGAACGCGATTGTCTGGGCGTGTAGTCAGGCTCCTTCGGTAGCCACACCGGAGGTGCTACCTGACAAACTCGTGCCTTTTCTAGCCTTTTCTCTGGCATCATAGGACGGTCAAAAAAGTTACGTGCACGCTACTTTCAACATGTGATTTCCAGGACTACATTTAATGTTCAAGCAAGATGAAGGAATGCAAAAGATGCAACAGATAAAAGACGGTCTTCTTGTCGCCGATTAATAATACTAAGATCGGCCTCCATCAGTAGAAGTTTACCTTACTAAATGTTGCGTTTATAGTCACTTTTAAGATACCGACGTCTCACTGCCTAAACCTAAATTTATGTATCTGCATGAATTGTAGCCGCTAAGCTCTCTCCCAGTTAAAAAATCTTCACAACTCTGAAACGAGGCAGAAGGTGAATAGCTGAGCTCCAAAAGTCTGCAAGTCGATTTTATGCTATGCTGCAACAGGTAAAGTCTGCCGTTTTCGGAAGTAACCGCTACTACAGTAGGGCATGGAACAGGCAGTAGAGTCGATTTTGGCCTCCGCACCTCCTGCGTCGGCCTCGGTGGCAAATGAAACGACAGTCAACGCAACAACTAACGAATGATTGCTTCAAAAGTCCTCAAAATCACTTTTTTACGTCAAAATGACCAAAAAAAAATGCGAAGCAACAGCAAAAAAGGCTACTCCCTATTGGGGTGGCAAAAGGGAGACACCTACTTAATCTAACTCCTTAAGCGGTGTGAGGCAGTGCAAAAAAACAAACACTTCATTGAAGCATTTAAAAGCACGAAACTTCTTTCAATTCTATTTTCGCCTAATCCAAGGCCAGTTTTAGCCAAAAAATGAGTTGATTAACCATATAGCTGATCACTGCAAAGAGGTGCACATAAGATGGAGGCAGAGCCTTAACAGTTAAACTCAGAGACCGTTTTTATCACTTAACCCTAAAAAGGAGGAAGAAGAGTTGTTCAATCAAAACGGCATAGTCGGGCCAATTTGCGCCCATTCAAGATGCGCTCGGTGTCGCGAAGTGTCCGTGAGCAAACGCTCAGTAAGGTGAGATTGCGATGCTACTTGAGGAGAGCAAGAATAATGGAACGCAGTCGCAAGATGAAAGTGAGACTCAGTTGTGAGTTTTAAGTTTTCAATATTAAAAACAAGGTTATAAACTTCATAAATGTTTACGTACCGCGGTGTCGGTTTGTTTCTCTATCCATCATCAATCCATAGGTTTCGAGCTGGTGTAAAAGGGGAAATGCGATTAGGCAAGCACATTCGAGAGATCATCAAAGTGTACCAGCTCTGTGTATGGCATAAAAAGGCGGTGATTTTGGCCAATTCATTATTAAAACAGGATGATTTTGTAGATGATGTTACTTTAGCGAGAGTCCTTTCTTTGCAAAAACATGATCTAATTTAGCGCTTTTGAGGGCACCTGCTCAAGGGACTAGAGGTGCTGCGGCAGATAAAATCACTTGCTCAGGCACCACTTAAGTTTCACAGCTTTCAGTGCACCAATGCTCAACTACCCCTCGGCATAACCAAAGCACAGTTCCCGTCACCAACTGCGACACTTGGCTTCTCCTAAATAGCCGAGAGGAATAAACGGTCGGAATAAATCGGAAGTCTTTATCGAAAAATCCGAACAGGAGTCCGCTAACAAACATCAAACAAAGCGACCTTACGTTGACCAGAACACTCTCAAGGTTCAAAGTCAGTTCATAAAATGTTTTACATTTTATAACACAGTTTTACCCAAACATGGGATGACTCTTCGATCATGTCATGGTAAAATGTGCAAAATTCTACACGTATCACTAAAAATCTGATCCAACTAGGAATCACTGATACGAAGTGAACATACGAAAAGCAATCACTGTGACCTGAAAACCCCGACACCGCACATAGAAACACGGTGACGAGCCCACTTTTGGGAAGTTATAGGAATAAAGGGACCAAAAGATGACCTCAGTTGGTGGTGTAACTCGCGATATGACTTGGGGAAATTTATTGAATGCTGTGGATGCACCCAAGTAAGGTTTCGGTGTCCATTTTTAATGGGCTTTTGTGCCCCAAGTGTTGTCGAATGGCCGATCAACAGGCAAATGAAAAAACTAAATTAATGAGCATAAAAGCAGTTAAAGTAAATTAAGTATTGTAAGTGGTCCCTTCCTGCATGGCTGTTAATGAATACTTTGCATTTCTCCAAGTAAGAAATATGTCACAAGTGCTATAATACTACACTTTCCCAAAGTAACATTCATGCGCCTTGAGGAGCATTTCTTCCCGCCTTTTGAGGGAATCGAGGAAGAAACGACTACTCCACTCGGCAGCGGAGACGACACGTAGTGTGCGCCACCCTTAGAGCACTCCTCGTACCTTTAAAGCTACCGATTTTGGCCTAGTTACCCACCTTCACGGAAACCCTGGTGTCGCCAGTTCACAAAAGTTGGTAAATGGGAGCAGAGGGCCCATGCGGCACGAGTGCCCTATTCGTACAACCTACGAGTTGTGTCAGCACGCCACGAGTGAAAATCAATGACACGATTTCAAAGGGAAAGGCACCGCCTCCCATGCAATCAACGTACCCTTCCGTACTGACTGAAGTAATTGGCTATCTCCTCATTCGTTGTGCTGTCTGCTACTCCACCAACGAACACTTTCCTCGTTTTGGCTGAAGCCTACAAGGCGACATCACTTATATTAACTTCCTAACTCACTACACTATTTTGGGCTTGTTAAGCAAGCTTTTTTGGTATTTTAGTCGTTATTTTTACCAAAATGCGAGGCTTTGAAGCAATTTTCGTCCATTCTTGGGCATAATTCAACTAAAAGTCCAAACATTCTGTTCTAACTGGTATGCAAACACAGGAAGTCTTCGTGAGCAACCAAAGTTACGCACTGATGTGCCAGCTAACGGATGCCCTCAGAATCAAAGCATGAATCTAATTCCGCAAGTTCTACCTTCTCAATGCATAATTATGGCTGGATAGTTCAATTGTGGCCCAACACCATTGTTAGCATTGTGTCACGAACTAGTTCGAAAGTCATATGCCCTGTAGTATGCCACTTTCAACGAATTTCATACTTCGTGCATGTGTAGTGCACAGAAGAGCTGCTGCTTACATGCGAATAGACCCTAGGAATAGTACAAAAGGGATCGCATACCTTCGAGTTTTGGGCTGGTATTCGAGGCACTGCCAATTTTGGATCAATCTAAGGTGGAAAGAGGTGAAAAGCAAAGTAAGAAAATAGTTAGTTGCAAACACAAGCAAATTAAAAATCTCCAACTTATTTGGATACAATTGCGCCAAACTTTGGGTATTTTTATCATCAGTGTGGTAGTGGGAGTTAGCCATCAGCTTCCCCAGCTGGTCCGGGTTTACGCACTAACCCATGAAACCAATTGGGTGATCAGCATTTTCTAGTTATTTTTCTTCACTAAATGAACTACTTTCCATTCTAAAGTTTGTTATTTAAGACTGGAGCCGTGAAAGTGGAAAAAAATGCTCCTTCAAAGCATCTGCGAAGTTTGCATTTCATTGCACTACACATGTAAAATTCTTTGTTGGACTCATTGCAATCACCTCAGAATGGTGAAAATGCAAAGGCCAACGTCGTTATTTGGGTGGATAAAGACAATATTTACCCCAGTAACTTGTTTGAAGTCGAGCCACTCAGGGGCGAGTCATGCAATGTAATGTATGAACTGAGTGCTCTCATTCCTCCGGCTATGCATGCAAAGAAATTTTAAAATAACACTTCCTCCGCTATTTATATGAAGTCATCACATTAAGTAAAGTCAATGACATCAACTGAATACGAAGGCGTATTTGTCAAGGCCATACCTTCTTGGACTCAAGGTAGTGAGGTCCACTTTCCAGCACCTTTCCTACAGCAGCTGGATCCTCAAAGGTCACAAATCCAAATCCTCTACATAAGAACAAGAGTGCTAATGCTGAGTTAAGAGCCCACTTGAGTATTTGCAGGAAACCATTGTTGTGCTAATGAAACCAGCCAAATTGGGAGAGGAGGGAGGCTACATTAAGTGATTTGGAGGGAAGGACGACTAGCATGAAAACATAAAACCTCCTTGTCTACCCCTAGCTAAAAGGAACCCTTATCCAATGCATTTCGTGCCATCGAGGACCAACTTGGTCCACTCCTCTATCGGTATAAAACGCCAAGACCGCGAACGATCCCCGAACCTAATGCACAAAGGTGAGGACGGTCAGCAATGCTGGTGGACATAAAGCTAATTGTGGCTTACCTTGACCGTAAGTTATTGGGATCTCGCATAACTGTAGTTTCTTTGATGCTACCATACTTGCCAAAGTAGGTTTTGAGGGTTTCTATGTAAAGGAAAAAAAGCAATCTACATGCGCAGACATTATTTCGAAAGAACTGACCAGATAGCAGTTAAAGCAGAAATAACTAGTTTCAATCCATCCTCTCCTATATTGCACAGTCTCCCTTATTAAATGCATATAATTACGCCCTCAAAAACTTGTTAACTTACCTTCTGTAGTGGTATGGCTTAGTCCTCCCACAAACATTTTTCTAAAGAAAACAACAATCCATTTAAAGTTGCAATTATTTAGTTTAGGGATTAAAAAACAAATCACAGTCGAGGTTTAAATTTCTCACTGATTTTATGAAATTTGACGGAGGAGCGAAGTTAATTAAAGGCCAACTACGGAATACACGTTAGCACTGAACCTACCTAGATTATGCGAATTCTTTACCCATTTACACTGCAATACACAGCTAGATCCGGGCAAAAAATTGTTGTTTGACCTTTAGTATCATTGAACCTTTGAGGAGAACATTTAAGTAATGCTTTAAGGTAAAAGATAATAAGAAATTTTGAGTTTTTTTAACTCCTATGGGGCATTGAAAATAGGCTCATCGGTAAACCTAGAATCTAAGGAACTCACCCTAGATCATTGGTGAGCTGTTGTGGCGAAGTTGATGGCTCAAACGGACCTGTTTTCGTGCTTGTAATGCAGGGTGGAGATGGCGAAGAAGTCTCATTATCAACACCTGAATCGGAGCCCCTAGATTCAGATCGCTTTTGCATTTCTCTTTCTTTGCCGTCAGTCTTGGCTTGGGCAACGCTTTCAAGGGACACTTCCATGACGATAAATATGCGTCAGAGATGCAATCACAAACTATGGTTTGGTAAATATAAAAGCGACTGCTAAAATACCAGCTGACGAGCCTGAGATCACGAGGAAATCGGATTCGTAGAATGCAGCCAATAATGTGCGCACCTCTTTATACAACCGGTGCACTGACCTTCATGTAAAGAGGTAATTGGTTTATCCATTAGCCAATTAATGGGCGGCTTTTGAAGGAGTGGTCTAAGCATGGCCACCATGGTTTCGCCTTTTATCAAAATAGGTTTTCGGTTGTGTTACGCGTGCAACTGGAGGGTATCACATTTGTCCCAACATCACAATATATCTAATCTGAAATATGAATGCAATCGAAGCGTAAAGCATTGTTCGCTTTCTAAAAACAAGCATTTGCTCGTAAAGTATGCAGAATTTTAGGCGCTAAGATCCTAGCCATCCACAACTTTATTGAATCACTTGCATCTAAATTTTTTTGGTCGCTCTTAATAATTACATTATGAAACGATATCATATGGACAATTACACATTTTAACATATTTCACTTGGAATTAAGTCTTAATTTTTCAACCCATTTTGATTTATAAGGCACTCCAAAATACAATGCATTTGTTTAAAGGAAGCGATCACGTGAGGAAATCGATTCGAGCCTTATTGATTATCTCGATGGTCATCTTGGCGGCATGGGGGGCAAGTTATTGTAAGCCAATTTTGATGAAAGAAAGAGGGCAACTGCAAACGAAATGAAAACCGCTCCAATGACCGGATTAGAGGTGTTGCATGGGTGATGTTGCCCAAAAAGAAGTTTAGAACAAAAATTAATGGCTTTTCAAAATGAAATGAAATCCCAAGAATTTCTTTTTGTAAGGCCAAAAATTCTATCAAACCTTCTTCCTCAGTCACCAAACTCAAGTAAGCTCTGTGATGTGTGTGAAGTTATAAAACATCCAAAATTGAGTAGCATCTGTTTATCGTTTTCTGCAGTACTATTTCAGGCTGCTATCATATTTTAGAGAATGGTTATCACGCTTTCACCAAGCCAGATGCCCGAGAGACTAGTCATGTTTTATTCTGACATTTGCTTATACGCAGAGATCGTTAACACCTGCGTCACAAGCTAAAGAAATTCGGTTTTTTTTTAAATAAATAAGGTTTTGGCTGCTCTCCAAATCGCAATTGCAAACCCTGAATGCGACCTGACTATCAAATGTCTCAAGGCGGAACCGATCGAAGCGAAGCCAAACAGTCTCATCACGTTTAACTAGAACATTCAATGGAAGACAAAACAGCGAAAAATGAATTTTCAATGTGAGGCAATACTAATTTTACATGTAAAATGAGGGTGAAGGTAGCACAACTGATGCATTCGGGTCACTTGGACACAGCAACTGAGTTCGGTCGAAAGGCTAAACACGATCAAGGTTGTTATCACACTAGTTTGGTGTCACAATTTTTTTTATATTTTTGCATCCAGTAACTCAGATTATCACCATCACATTGTGATTTGTTTCAGGTGAATCAGCTATCAAAATGGCACATCTCTGCATCCGTTTGGAGTGGAGTCCTTTCAGCACGGTACAGTCATGCCGGTTCCACACAAATCAGGAGGCGAATGCTGAATGCTTACTGCACTTTAAGGTGATGTCGCAAGAAATGCCACACTTAGACTCGGGCTTAACCACAGACAGCCACGTGAACCCCGAGGTGTGTACTTGTGTGCACATGCTTACACGCACGTATGCACATGAATACCTCAGATGGTATTCAACCCGATTTAATCCACCATGCATCAAAATCATGCTTTGAGAAGGCCACCCGACATGGTCTTCATTCGTAATTTAGCATTGTCGATTTTAAATGATACTCTAGCTATGACTACTACACCGTCCTTTTCACTCCTGAGGCAGTACAATGATTGAATGTTGGCACAAAGTCCCACCTTATTCAAGACTTACATGATTTGGTCGGTGACATAGTTTTACTTTGCGTTGTAGTTATTGATCGTAGGGAAAGCAAAGCGTACGTCTCTCTTTTAAGCAATTTGTGCAATTGTCGATGGAGGAAGGGATTGAAGTTTCCACAGGCTGACACTGCGAAGAGCAGCATCCACAATTACTCTTTGCCAAGTTTTACAATAAATTCAACATAGTGGTACTTCCGACAGGCACAATGAGGATGGCAAACACGCTTTAAATTAAAATGACTTAGTAAACCGAAGTAGAACATCCAAGGAGTGCTGTTGTACCTACTAATGTCACAATCAACTGGGAACCTTACTCATCATTTTACGTGCTAATGTTGAAACTCCTGATTAATAATTTAAAGTCAATTTCGTAGAAATTATCGAAAGATTTTGTTCTGCAGTGGAGTGATGTCAGCATCGGGGAAGAGAGAAGGGGGGAGATCTGCCGAATGTCACTACACGACAATTTATGGTGCAATAACAATAAAAGGGTCCCCCCTAGACGAAAGCGAAGAATCCCCAACTGCGTAATCACATCCTTCCTGCTGTTTCTTTTTTAAGGTTTATATAAAGCTCACGATATCTACTAATAAACACCGGTTGCACGGGCAGAGCGGTGCTTTTGAAGTAAGTGCTCAGATTCAGGTGTTTTACCGGTACACGCCCATCACTGGTTCTGGGTTCACATTTTGCCCACAGACATTGCGAATGAATGTTTTTAATGGCAAAGTTTTTGGAGCACAGTACTTTGTCAAGAGCATGGATGTAATGGCGTAGCCATCACGGCAACAGGCGATGCACTACAAGAACCGGTGAGGTGAATTGGCGGTCCAGAAAGGCGCATTCACTGTTTTTTGCATCACATTGCCAGAGTATGGATTTGTTCCTTCCTAAAATCCGTACGTACATCAACTACACAGTTGAGAGGCGGCACATAGTGTCCTGTACCATGGCACGACCGTCCAGTCTCATGGCGTCTGCACCACTCTCGCATCCCATTGCTAAGGGGTGTTGTAAATGATCTGGACAAAATGATAAATGTGAAATTATTAACCTGAAATCAGTTAGTTCCCTATTTGGTGCAAATCTATGTAAAGTTTCTGCGGCCAAGATATGAGGAAAATTTTACTAACAAGATTAGTGAGGTTGAAAACGCGGAACATTAAAAGTTGATTGCACAAAGGGCAACTTTAGCGATTGTAAAATAAATTACTCGCGTGCTCAAAAAAATAACTTCTGATGTGCTTTGCTGACGTGAACATCACTTTTACGCCAGTAAAGCCCATGTTTTACTTTTATGGTAAAAGCAACGCCAAATATTGTTCCTTCGGAGTGATGAAACACCGGAGAGTGAGGTATTTGTGGTTGTAGCACTGCATATCTTCAACTTCAGACAAGAATCCTGAGGTCACTGAGTGCGCACTTCTCTCCTTTTCACTAGTCACGCCTAACTGTATTCGGGTTCATCGTCTAGCTGGTGTTTCTGGCTAGAGGATTTCCAATTCGGCTGTGCGTTTCGCACGATGTCCTTTTGAACCATTACTCAGTTGGTTGGGGTGCTTAGGTACTTGTGGTTCTACCCAACGCCACGAAGTCATCGCTCAAGAAGATGAAGACAATAAGTGGGCATGCCATTTGGACCCATACACTTGGCCTAAAGACTTTTCCTTTGATGTGCAGTATTGCAGTTATTAAAGCATTTTTAGGAAGTGAATGAAACCCAAACGCAACCGATAGGTGTCGACCTCTCGTCCCGCTTTTGGCCAAGCGTCTATTTGAGAAGTGCTTTATGAAGCTGTAGCGCCGAAAACTTGCATTACACTAATGAATAGAGTGTATAAAACGTTATTTTTGATTTATTTCTTGAGTTTTGCTATTTATTTGTCTCGATACCGTTAAGGTTCAGCTGTAATGCAGATTAGGCAGCTCTTTATGTACCTAAATGCAGGCTTGAGAGTGACCCGATTTGTTTGGATTCAGCAACAAATATTTTCATGAGAACAGGCGCTCGTTTATGCTATCGGCTCAAATCCACGCCCCTCACGTCAATAACCATTCACAGTTGACGAATCATCACGTTTTTGACATCACAAACGGTGTCAATCTTAAGTGCAAACAGCAGGTTGAAGTGTCGTCGTTGTCGTCGTCGTCGTCGACAACGACGACGACGCTGTCAGCTGCAGTGTGAACAAGAGTGTCCTATAGAATGTGTGTTTATTGAGAACGTCACGATGATAAATTGACGAACCTTAGAAACTCTCCGCTTTTTTTCCTGCTTTTCTGATTTACATTTAAGCTATTAATTTAAATAACTGAGCTAAAACAGCACGATAGAAGATGAGGCACAATTTTCTTGCTGTGAAAAGGCGGCATTGATTTGAAGCCCAATCCTTCCATTCTTAATACACCACAAACTTTGTGCGCTTTCGTTTTGGAGTTAGCAGGGTTTATGTTCAAGCAGATTTCTAATGCCGCTTGGTATTTGATATGTCTCTACGTTCATACGCACCTCCAAAACTACATGCTCCAACCTCAAAACCCCATTTGCATCAAATAATGCGCTCGGGTCTTTTTCCTCTCTCCATCTGACAAAATGAAGTGGCATTGCAGTAAATAGGTCGTCAATTTTTCCCCCAAATTTGTCCCAAATGAACTGTCAATATTAATCGCGTTTGCGTGGCAATGGGACTCGAGGCGCGACAGACGTCCACGCCCGCATGATCTGCGCAAAAGTGAAAATTCACCAAAGTAAAAATTGTTTACTCACCAATGGCAAATATTGGTGTGTCATGCAGATGTATTCCTTGTTTCAATGTCTAATCATGCAGAAGGACAAGCATTTGGCCGTGTCCAAGCTGCTGACTTGTGGACTTTCATCGGGTGACTGTAAATGTGTGTAAACATGCACTGCGATCACTGCCTTCTGTTTGCTTCTGCTTCAAGGTTATCTGACAATTGTGCTACGTGACGTTTAGTCATACTGGTTTTACTGGTCCGACAAACGGTAGCCGTGATTCATGCGGGTACAGACAATGAATA